GATTGGAGAGAACAGGCAAAAGAACCACTTCCCACTGAGACAGTCTCCCATCCAGACCCCAGGAGGGATTCCAGGATTCTGGAGTTCCATCGTTTGTGTGCTTTTGGTCTGTGAAACCCACTGGCAAAACATGTCTTGCTGTTCTTAGCCTACTGATTTTGCTGTTTCATTTTGTCAGTTAATTGCCTGAGATCTGTGAAACAGTTTGCATACAGTTTTTGTAAAAAGTTATGTGAGAATAATTAGCTAAGAGTATATATTTGTTTCCATCAAATTTTATAACAGAAGGTAGTATGATTGAAATAACAGGTATTTATGTCTTTATAAAATACTATTTATAAGTTAATTAAAGATTAAAGCTTCTATAAAGATATTATTACAGAAGAATATATTTGTTTCGAATATACTGAATGAATACGACTTTTTCAAGCCACAGATACAGTAGAAAATAGTTGTGAACAATTTATCTCTTTCTAACAGTTCCAGGAATGTTACCAGCTGCCATAATAGAATCTGCTGAGTTATTCATATCTGGGCTTAGGAAAAAGAGGCTTGATGCTTCAGTTTTTCAGCTGCAGTATAGAATTAATATTTGCCTGGAACTTGTGTTATTTGGCAGAGCATTTTCTTCAGACTGTATTCCCATTTTTTCTTGGCTTATTAAGCATGAAGAATGCTTATTGTAGTGGAAGCAGAATGATGAACAAAAAGATGGCCAATAGCCCGTTAAGTTGAAAGCAAGGTCCAACTGTTTTGCCTGATTCAGACTGTGAATACTTGCATGCTTTTATTGGTTTTATAGAATTAACAGCTCTCTGAATTACCAAATTTTACTGTTTCAAACACTTTCTTGTAAGCCGGAAGTACGTGATTTTCCTATTTTCCCTTGAAGTTTGATTATGATAATTCCTTAAAGCTTTTTATTTATATCCATAACACAACTTCATATACATATATGAGCAACTTAAACTTTAGAGGGCTGCTTCTAACCTATGCCAACATCACTTAAAATAAGCCTGGAGAGTCAAGTCTTTACACCTGCTGATTTAAAAAAGAAAAACATGGAGGAGTGTGCCAGTCCCTAAAATAGCATTGACATAGTTTGTCCTTTAGAAGCAATATTTTTTCTAAGCGCTAGTGTCTTTTCATGTTGAAGGATAAATTGTCTTTTAAGAATCTTTCTACCACAAAGAGCGGCTGAGATCTGAATTGAACTGTACATGTGGTATTAGACACAGCATTATCTGTTATAATAGGATAGGCAAGTGCTGACGGTCTGCTTATCAAGGACAGGTTTTATAGGGAAAAATGTTTACAGGGTTGGAAAGAGAGATATGAAGTGCTGTCTTTCAAGCAGGAAACATATCTGGCCTGTAGACTGGACAGCTTTCAGAGCCTGTGTGTGTGTTTCGGGAGTTCTTCTAAAGAGCGCTTTTCGTCTTTTTTCCAGTGTTACACTCAAAACCTTCTGCCCAGTGGAAGAATATTGTTGGAGCTACTATTTTATATGTTATAAATATATGTAATGTTATAGCCATGAAATTATTTTTATATGTGTGTATATATATAAAAAATAGGTAAATACCTTATATTCTAAAGTATTTAAAATTGAATAAAAATCCATATACAAAATAAAAATATAAATTCTTATATTTTTAGATAAAATGTAACCTTTTTATGTTTCAAATAATACCGAAACGTCAAGGAGCTATTGTGCTACTGTAATGGTTAGCAAAAAACAAGCTCCTTCATTGTTTTTCTTTTCGGGAAACAAGGACGAAAGCTTTATCTGGGATAATTTGAAGGCTGTGATGCATTCACTAAAATTGTTTATATATTTTGTTCTTAAAGTTTAATAGCTAAGAAGAAAGAGCAGGTAGCAAAAGGTGGGGTAATCTTTAGTAATTAGTCAATTTTTTGTCTCTGTGTTAAGAGATTGAGTCATAATTTGACTTCTTTTTGAAATACACATAGTTTCACAGGAGGTCAAGAACTTTCTGAAGAAATAGGTGTTAAAACTTGAGAAACATGGGAAGTTTATCAGTGTTTTCTGCATTGGCCTTGATTTGTTGAGAGGGAAATGAATCTTGTCAAAACCCGTGGGATGTTAGAACCATGATATTAAATTTGATAGTAAAAGGGTGGCTGCAAATATTTTACTGTTAAGTCCACTAAGTGTTAAAATAATATACTTCTGTGACAGATGTGTCATTATTGTATAACATTCTGGCCCGAAATATCATTATAGAAAGCCAAGATAAAGCATTCTAGATAAGTATTAAATATGTATGTAATACTTCTAATGGAGCGTCAGCATCCTATTTCTAGTGAGAACCTTAGGGATTTTTTCATGATCTAGTGCTCGTTTGTTTGTGGTCAGAGAATCAGATGCTTGTGAGTGATAGCTGAAGGTGCTGCAAACTAATAGCAAACTAATAAAATTAGTAGAATAGCAAACTAATAAAATTAATTCAACTATATAGAATGAAATAGTGGAAAACTGTGTGGTGAACTTTTTTTTTTCAGCTAACTGCATTTTGTGAAGATGATTTCAAGGCTACCAAGGTTTAATTTGAAGGAAAAAAAAAATCCTTCATACCAAGTTTCAGCTTGTGTCCCTTGCCTCTTGTCCTCCCACTGTGCACCTTTGAGAAGAGTCTGGCTCTGTCTTCTCTACACCCTCTCACGTAGGCAGTTGTTGACAGCAACAAGATCTTCTTTTTGTAGTGCTTTACTATATTTTTAGGCAAACTAATAGCCTGTAGATCTTCTTCATCAGTGTTCAGGAATCCTGAAATTAGTTTTTGAAACTCATCAAACATCCTTATGGTCCGGCATTAAGCTGTGATGTGTTAATGCTTTGATTGTGATGCTGAATAGAATCAATCTGTCCCACCAGGAATTGATTCTGAAGCAGAATGCCAAATGCTGTGGAATTCTTTTGGTTCTTTTGTAAACAGCCATGATAAGATGCTCAATAGCGTAAAATATTAAGGAAAAGGAAGGTATCTGTGAATTGCATTATTTTCCAACATGATAGATGATATATTTAGCTGTGACAGCTACATTATCTTAATTAACTCACTGCATAAATACAGTGAGTACAGTAGTAGGTACTCATCTATCTTGCAGTAGTATGTTTATTTCCCTGCGTAACATTTTTTTAATATGTGTAGTTATGCTGGAGTCAAAGCAACTACACAGATGAATAAGAATTACTTGTGAATATTGGGGCTTTTGGTTTAGGGTTCTTGGATAGGAAAGGAATTACATCTTTAAAGTCCACCGTAAAGACGTACTCAGTTACGTATCTCTGAGAACTGTGCAGTGGAAGAAATTTCAAATCTCCTCAGCTGGTAACAGTACTGCCAATATTACTACCTCCTCTATACCTTATGCCTTCCCAGAAGGATTATAGTATATTGCATAGAGTTGAAAAAAGTGAAGTATATCATATAGTTTTGCAATTAACAGAAAATTTTTTTTCCTCCACCTTTACATTGGTGAATTCCTGCTAACGCTAAGTTCCTGGGGAAGAACAGAATGGTTTTCTAGGTTGACTTTTGTATTCTGAAAGTATTTTATGAAATAATGCAGTGATAATGCAGATATGGTAACTGTATATTATTTAAAACATTCTTCAAAGAGGAATCTGACAAACTAGTGAAAGTGAGTAATGCCTGCAAGAATACAGAGCATATCCTTCAACTTTTTAAAGACTAGTTAATTAACAATAGGTGAAATTTGTTGTCAGATCTGCTTATCAGCAGATAATTGGATTTTCAAGTAAGTATGATTTTTTTTTTTTTGTCAGGAAAAAAAAAATTATATGGTTCTCTACCATTATAATTCAGCTGGAAATCAGTAACGTTTGATAGATCAAGTTTCCTGAATAAACATTATTTCCTATGAAGTACTGAGGCCAGATAGCTGCTCTTGTCATCAAGATGAAAGAGATCATGAACCAACTAAGGAGAAATAGGCCAGTGTGAAAACACAGCATATAGGAAGAAGGGTAACAAGAAACATTTAAATTATATTTCTCATTATTTTAGGTGACTTTGACAATAAAAATTTGCACCTTTTTGAAGTCGGTAAAGATACAGGAGAGACTAGGAATATGTATTTTCTGACAAATACAGAATTCCTGTGAACAAAATGCTCTTTCTTTTTTGCTGGGGGCTCTAAACCTCTATTTTGACAACACAAGGTGATTCAGAATTATTCAAAGGATATTGAATCAACAGTAAGCTTTGCCAATTAAATTTCAAAAATTGATGGATATCCATGCTACATGAAGAGATGTGAAACTATGACCTTCCTGCTGAGAGACAAGAGTCAAGCAGTTGAATCGCACTGACATTTAAGTCTTTGTGTGTGCATGTGTGTTTGTGTACAGATAGAGGGATACCTACTTATGCTCTCTCTCTTATGTATCTTGCTAGTCACTTCCTTGAAGCAGAATTTTTGCTGGACTAATTGCAAAGTTCTTGTTATCTCACCAAGCTCATTTTTCTCCATAAATTGGCAATATGAATATTGGCTTGTGTCTTTTCTGGGTTAGGCTGTAGTTTAATTTTTACTGCATCAGTAACTCTCTGAAGAAGACATTTAAGTTTAAAGGCTCTTCCTATTCATTGCTTCAATTTTGATTCTCCTTTTACATCACTAGTAAGGAGGTCAAGTGTTAAATATTTCAAATACTGAATTGTAATCTGCTGTTATGCTGATGCTAGGTGTTGAATTCTGCCCAAAACCTTGGGAGTGTGTGTTTTAGCATTAAAAAAACACATAAAATGAGATAACTATAATGTTTATAATGGGTCTTGATATATACTTGTTTCAACCTAAATTTGAAAATGATATTCAACCATGGCTCCTTCCAGTCTGTTGAAATGTCATTGCCCTTAAACCAGAAGGAGCATACTTTTTCATTATCATGCAAATATTATTGATTTGTTACCTACAGATATTAATTACTCTTCTTGCTCTTTCTTAAGGGAATGTATATCAAATCAACGTATGATGGGCTACATGTAATCACAGGAACAACTGAAAATGTAAGCTTCTTTAAAAGACTTTTTTATCATGCATATAAGTATTTTCTGCATGTTTGCAATGTATTTTGTAATAGAAAAATTTACTTAAGTGAAGACACTTGCTATTAATACTTCATTTTCCTTTATCTTTTTTGTATTATATCATTTTTATATTCACTTCTTAATAATTTTGAAAACCTTGAAAATACACAAAGAAAAAAATATCTGTGATGAAGTAACAAACAAATGTTATATTAGAATGAAAGTCTCGAGCTTTGTCGAGACTGGTTCTTCCAACATAGAAGAACGAATGGTTCTTCCAACATACCTTGTAAATAGTGTTTGTGTATACATTTTCTTTCAACAGGACAGTAAGAATGATATAACAGATAACCTTCAGATATTTATATTGACCAGAGTAATCACAACATTGCAGAGTTAATGAAAGCATAACTATCATTTGACCTGCCCTTAAAAAATACAGTTAGCCTACTTTATACAACCAGTCAATATTGCCATACAATGATGAATTTTTTTCTGCTAAATGTTCTTTTTTTTTGGTTTTCGTTATAGGATGGATAGTAAAATTTTTGTGAAGTCTAGCTTTAATTATCAAATTCATCAGGAAAATAAAGAATGTTAGAAAAATGAGCACAGTGGATTTTTGGAAGAATTGTTAGGCATCTCGGTTTTCTTAGAGATTATGCTTATCCTAGGACTGACTTATTAGCTTCTCTATGTCAAGGCAATTCAATAAAATAGATTGTAAAATAATAAATATTAAAATCGTTGAGATATGCAAGATAGGGGATTGTAAAAGATATACATAATAGAGAAAGATAAGTTAAAATAGTGTATTTGATAGCATTTAGATTACACAATGGTCTTTGATAAGCCGGAAGGTTTTCAAAGCTGGCAGTAATTACTGGGAGGACTATGCCTAAAAATGGAGAGATTGAGATTGCAGAAAGGAGCAAATAAAACGTCGTACATACACAGAAGTGATGGGTGAATCGACAAACGTTGAAAAACAAGTTAGTTAAAGAATACAAATAATTTTTTTTAAGAGTTTGTGAGAGGACATACAAAAAGTTCTTTTATGAAAATAACCATTCCTGAATAAGTTATATTAGGAGGAGTTAAGCACCATTGTATCTTCACAGTTTCCATCATCTGCAGTAAAGATGCAGAAGAGACTAGGAAGAATGTATTGTAATTTTCATTCTAGTCCCAGAAGTATTAGGCAGTAGTAGAAGCATTATCTGAATTAAAAACATGCAGAAAGGCTGCAGCACACAAATCAGTATGACTGATCCGAGAAAAAGATTATCGCTGTGACAACAATGACTAAAAAGGTTCTAAACTTCCTTCTTGTTACTTAATTTGTAATTATGAGTTACAAATAATAATTTGACTTCAACTCTTGTCATCTAATTATTATGACAGAGCTTATAATAGGACCTGTCTTCTGTTTTTCACATAGTCAGTTTTTTAGAGAGAACTTCAGTCCTGGATGTTTTTAACAGCATATAGGTGGATAATTTACAACCTTAGATTTTATAAGGCTAAGACAGAAATTATGTAATACTGATACCCAGACAAAATAAAACTAGCACTGCACAGCTAGTCAAAGATGTAAATACTTACCGGCATACCTCACTGGAATTCTCGTCCGTGTTGGTGAGTTTCTCATGTGATACTGTGTTCTACTTTTGTTATATGTATATTCAGATAGTTTTATGTTATGTAGTTTTAGGTCAATCAGTGTTTGGACAGAGCAGACCTGGGGAAAGCCTTATGATTTGTATGTCACAATTTCTGAAATCTAATACAAATTAAACTTTAAATTTGGATGCTTATTTATATTAATACTATTGGCAGTCTTTAGAAGTGTTAAAATAACTGTATGTTTATTTGAGCCATTAAACTTACGGATGAATTATTGTGGTTATATTAAAGCAGATTTTGTTCATAGAATGAATGACTTGCGTTAAAATTAATCCAATTTTTCATTGTAATTTTAATTCTTTTGAGAAGTAGAATGCTGTTTGAGGGGAAACTACTTAAAAAGAAAGTTATTTTGATGAAGTATTGAATTATTTAAAAAATCCAAAGCATCAAAGGCAATTTTAGTTTAAAGACTAATTTTAGTTTAGTTTCTAACACTTGGCCATACTGGTACCCATTGGGAGAGTGTTTTAAGTTGATGCACTATTGTGGCTGGAACAAAAGATGTAACTTTTTCTTGTGAATTCATCATAAAAATTTAAATCCTTGAATTATAAATGGATTTCCTTAATTCTTGAACCACTAATATGTTGCAACGAACTCAGAATTTATAACTTAATAATTGTTAATTTTAGCCTTTCTGTTAGCTGAGCGTGTGATGGATTTGAAAGAGCAATAAAATGAATTTTTGTTGAAGGTACAAAATTTTCTCTTCCTAGGTAATTACCCAGAGTATGTGTTTAAAATAGTAGTCCTTTAATTATATTGGAGGAAAGATCTATATGAATTATTTTAATAAGAGTTACAACAGAGTCAGGATACATTTCGTTCTTCTTTCCTGCAACTGGAACTTGCTGTGAATAAAATTTAACTCCCTTAAATGTTATAAGGGAGTAAATTAACGTAGTAATATTTTATTTTTCAAGATTCTTATATGCATAGGAAATAAAATTGTTTACATAAACAGTTGCTCAGAACTGAATAATTCAACTGACTTTTTTTCCTCAGCCCACTATAGTATTTAGGTGTACAGCTGAAGCATGAATTTTGCGTGATGCCAATGGCTTAGAATTTTTTGTGTGTGTTTTGATACAGTTGTTTCACAGGCAATTTAAATCTTCCCACTTCGTGTATATTTGTTAAAACCTGATGAAGCCATAACTGACATTTTATTTCAAATATTAAAATTTTGTCACTCAAAGTGACAATTCCGGTGTTTTAAAGGAATACTGTTAAATTTTAAAAGCAAAGTGTTATAAAATGTCTTTATTTAGAAGAATTTTGATTATTAAAATAATTAGCTTTTATAATAGGATGGATTTTTTGCATTTCTATCATCTTGAACAGTGTTGTCGATTTCACTGTTAGCACGATTCAATACTTGTAGTATTGGTTCTGGAGAGGAATATTCGTAATATCAAAGTTGATAACAGCATAGTTGTTGCTGTATTTCTATGTTAATTCAGTGCCTGTGGAGCAGTCGTGTGTCTATATCAAACTTGCAGTAGTTCTTCAAAGTAGAGGGTGCATAGTTTTTAACTGGTGTTCGTCATTAACATGCGTCCTCAACTCTTACCTAATAGATTGGTCTAACAGGTAACAGGATTGAGCTCAGGCCTTTGTCCAGAATTTGTTCATACAGGAGAGAACGTTACTTAAGATCAGGAGACTAAAAAAAAAGTTCTAAGTAATGAGAATAGCCAGTCAAAGATTTCTTTTTCTGTTAGGAAAATCTGCTATAGCAAGGTGAATTCTAATATTGGGTAATCTCCTGAGAGAACTATTGAAAGCTCTGTGCGCTTATCTCCTTTGGGATGGAATTGTTCGATCAAGAAAACGGATTACATTAGCTTCTTGAACTTTCTTTGGGGCTTCCTATTATGCTGTATCTTGTGTCTTTATTATATACTGTAGTTTATCTGCCTGGCCCTAAAGATGCTTTATTAAGTAGAATTCAAAGTTGGAGAAAAGTTTTATGATAGCCAAAGCAAGATTAGGTTTTAAAAATAAATTAGGAAGTGAAGAGAAGGAAATCAAAATTTTAAAATGATCTTTATGATTTTAAAATATAACCCATTTATTTTTAAAGTGTTTCTTGAAGTATGATCAACGTTCTGTTTGAGAAAAAGAACAGATTCAGTCCCCTTTGACAACTTTCTGACAAATGAAAAGATTGGAAGAACGTTATGCCTGTCTGGAAAGTTAGGGGTTTGTTCTGTAACTGGTTGAGTGACCATCAGAGAAGGACCTGGGAGTGCTGGTGGACAAGTTAAACATGAGCCAGCAGTGTGCCCTTGTGGCCAAGAAGGCCAATGGTCTCCTGGGGTGCAGTAGGCAGAGTGTTGCCAGCAGGTCAAGGGAGGTGGATCCTGCCCCTCTCCTCAGCCCTGGTGAGGCCTCACCTGGAGTACTGTGTCCAGTTCTGGGCTCCCCAGTCCAAGAGAGACATGGCGCTACTGGAGAGAGTCCAGCGGAGGGCTACAAGAGGATGAGGCCAGCCTCTTCTCTGTGGTGCCCAGCAACAGGACAAGAGGCAATGGGCAGAAACTGAACCACAGGCAGTTCTATCTGAACCTGAGGAAAAACTTCTTGACTGTGAGGGTGACAGAGCACTGGCACAGGTTGCCCAGAGAGGTGGTGGAGTCTCCTTCCCTGGAGATATTCAAAACCTGTCTGGATGTGATCCTGGGCAATATGCTCTAGGTGACCCTGCTTGAACAGGGAGGTTGGACTAGATGATCTCCAGAGGTCCCTTCCAACCTAAACGATTCTGTGATTCTGTGATCAGTCCGAGTGAAGAACCCTGTAAAATATCTTCCACATTTAACTTTTGAAGTAGAAAAATTTCTTTCAAGATCCTATCCTTCAGTTATTACCATAACTGAAGAGGTTTTCATGAAACTTTCTGCATTTCAAGTTATTTCGAAAATTCAATTTAAAAGAAGTTAGTAGGTTCATATGCACCTAGGATAATTGTATTACCACTAGTCTGAGCGCAGTTTCATTTCAAGACCTTACAGTAAGGCCTTTTTCCCTTATCGGAAACAATTATCTAAAGGAGTTGCCTGTGGCTGTAATCTGTCTACACTGTGTATGTATTCTAATCTGCATTAGCTTTATGAGTCCTACTGTTGTTAAACTAAGATAAACAGAGTCACCTTGTGGCTATTTGAATTTCCCTTGTCCTTTTGTGGTAGGCTGCTACTAACATCACTGCCAGTGTCTCCATGCAAATCTTTTCTAAGAAGGTGCTCTCACTTGGTAGTAAAAAGGTAATCTGTGGTGTTTTCTTCACGTTGCCATTTATGACCAGCTACAGAATTATTATATGTTGATGCAACCATTGAAGCAGGCCTCATGTCTTTTTATGTGTTTTTTTTATACTGATAAAACTTGATTGAAATGTTTTCAGTTAATCCTGATCCAGCGTCAAGTCAAATCTTCACAGGATCAGTGGAGTTTTTATATTACTTTTCAGTGAGTTAGGTCAAGTCTTGTGTAACTTTAAGGGATTAAAGTCATGCTGAATTGTCTTGTTTTCTCAGTTCTAGGTGGACTTTCCACCACAGGTTTATATTAATATATATGTGAAGCTTTGAAACTGAGCGGAACTGTCAGAAAAGGGCATGCTCAGTTCTTTTTGTGAACGTGAAGGGAATTTACAGGGGTTTGGCTATGCCTCTATGGATGCTGAAGAAGTAAAAAAATATATGATTTATAGTGCTTGCATGTGAATGACTCGACACGTGAGGGTACACATAGATATCTTAGTTCAAAAATGTAATTAACATTTTCTTTTTCTAGTGGAATTTACTGTGCTAAATAAGAAAAATCTTCTTGGTAAAGGACCTACTAATTGAAAGGGGTGGGGAGGAGTTACCATAAGTGCCAGCCATTAAAATTTGCATTTTTATTTTGACTAAATGTCAAAACTTTTTGATAAGACAACACCATAAGAAGTTGCTTTTTTGTTTTTGCTGCTGTAAGTGTAATCATATTTGCAGATAAACCGGCTTCAAAGACATTTAATTTTTGCCATTTCAGCAAATTGATTTTTCATTCCTTTTGAAGGGATAATTGACCTCAGAACTAGTGTTCAATTTTAAAAGATAATAAGCTCAGCCTCATCTAAATCGAGAAAGGAGCGAAAAGGGGAAGGAACCAGGCCTTTGCTCTTCTAATTAATATCTATTGACGTTAAACACATCAGGAGTAAGGCATTCATTTCAGTTTCCTGCTTACCTTTCATTCACTATTTAAAGCACCCTACTTTGTATTCACACTGGATTCTAGAAATGGAAATGAAATACCCTGCTTATAACCAAAAAAAAGCCAAAAACAAAAAACCCCCAAACCTCTAAGTGATTCTGTTAGTCCTGTAGAAAAGAGCAGGTAACCAAAATTCTGTATGTTTACATCAAGAAGAGAAGTTGACACTGGAGCCAGGAATTTCTTCATGCCATCCTATATAATATATAGGTAAAATCCTATTTATTTTAGTGCAGAAGAATTCAGATAGTAGGAGATGGTATTTGTCTGTAATGAGTAGGAAATGGGCAGCTTAGTTCCAGGACTGGAGTGCCAGCTCCAGGAGACACAAAAGCCCTGTGTCGTGCAAGAACAAGCAGAGATCAAGAAGGTGAGGAGTCAAAACATGGTTTATTTTGGGGAGGGGGCAGAGAGAGGTCAGGAGTGATCAGCAAGCAGTGACGGAAAATAAAGCTAAGCTTGGAATGACGCCTGTAACAACATACTGGGTATTCATTCGCCCTCCTGGCTTGTTATTTCTTACTGATGGAATAATTAGTGATGTCTCCTAATACTCTAGCAGCTGTGTAGACTGCAGAATCTATCGATTAGTCAGCAGATGCTGACCATTGGATAGTAAATTGATATCCTCACGGATGGAGTCTTTTCACTGGCATTCTGCTCAAAGGTCACTATTAGATTAGTCGTTTTCTTCCTAGTGGCTGCTTGGGCCTTTGTTGTATTGTTTCTGTTGTCCTTGTTCCTTCTGTTTCCCCCCTGCCCTTGTGTTTATAACCTCCATCCACAAAAAAAGATAGAAATGATGGATGGGATGTGTGCTTGGTGAAGATTGTCTGGCTGAAGAGCTCTTGCCAGTTTTTCCTGAAAGTTTTGTTGGGTACATAGTGAGATCATAAATATAAATCTCTACAAGTCATCTTTGAATTCAGCTAAATGTTTTCTTCCTTCACGTTTCTTGTGAAGGCTCTTGTGCCACGTGCAACTTAGTTGTAGGCTGACTCCAGAATGCATCCAGAACTGAACTATGTTTTGATACCATAGTCCCTTTTCTGTGAGGAATTTCTTCAACGGTATTAAAGCTAGATCACTGTTCAGCCTCGTCCAAATCCCCTGGCTGGTCTAATTCCCCATTAACCAATTTCTGCTGTGATTTACTTTCCAAAGTGATACCTCAGCTCTTTAAATCTTTGCTAGTTATTTTCTCTTATTCAAAATTGGCCTCCTCTATGTCAGTAGAAGACTTTTGTAAGCTAGTGCACAATGTATGGAAGTTGCCATGGTTTCTCTCTTGTAAACTGAAATACTTCCTCTATCTGTCTCACAAGCTGGTTGTCACTTTTGTTAGGGTTTTTTTGGTGACTTCCTAAAGCAGTGCTACTTTTGTTTGTGTATAATAAGAAAATAATTAAGACAGATGTGATACTAGTGCGTTAACAACAGATGCATTCTTTTAGCTTAATTTCAGTTCTGAATAATGCCACACGTATGTGTCCACAAAGCACACATTTTTCTTTCCTATTTAAATACAAATAATTTTCTCACATTTACATCCAAGAAAAAAAAAAACTTGTTTGATAGAATTAGCTCTTAAGTACTCTTCTGAATGTTTTTACTTTACCTCCTCAGCATGTCTACTGACCTCCTGCATGCCTTGTCAGATGTACATCGGAATATATCAGATCACAATGAGAAGTCTTGCCTCTTACTCGTGTTATTATGATGATGATAATACATTTTAGTCAATTCTGACACTAGGTGTCAAGAAAGCAGTAAGAAACAAGGTGAAAAGTTAGCCTCTTGCTTACACCAACCCTCTGGATCTTAGGTCTGTAAGACTAATGTGTAGGAAAGTCTTATTTAAAACCTCCCTTTAACTTGATTTTAATTTGAAAGATCTGTGATGCAATATTTATTTACATTTTGTAATAGTTTTAATTGTAGAGCTTGTCATTGTGTCTTATGGATTTTATGATCTGGTTTTACGGAAAGCATTTAATGATGTTTTCCTAAGTAGCAGTCGACCGTGTTTAAATACCTTCTTGGGCACTGGAATTTAATTGTTGTAATATGAACACAAGCAGCTACATTTAGAATAAAGTAGTTGAAGCTCAGCTCAAAGGTCCTGGAATTATGAGAGTGGAGTATTATATATCCTAAAGAACATCACATCCCTCACATACTTTATCAATTAGTAAATTGCCACTTCCTGTGTTTGTATGGTTTATCTGGTACTGTCTTGGAAGTGCTAGAGCTATTGTGTGTTTGGAAGTACCTGCAGTGCACTTAAGAATCAAGACTGATATATAAAGGACTGTGTGAGACCTCCTTTTCCGTTACATACGTAGTTGTTCCAGCCCTGTCCATGTACATGCAGTAAGCTCACCATTTGTTGGTTTAACAGAATTACTGACAAGGGACATACATTCAGTCAGTGTATTCCTGATAAGATTGTGACAGCTGGGGGCTCAGTAATCTCGCCTCTGAGAGGTAAAGATGCTAAAATAGTTACCTAGTCAGTAAGATGGCATATCACCAGTGGAAGTGAGAGTCCAGAATATTTCATCATTGATTTGTCATCTATAACCAGAAAAAACACAGTTCCTTATCAATATAGTTTTTATAAATACAGTGAATTATTATTTGATAATAATAATATTTCCTTGGACAGAATTTTTTTGCCTCTTTCACCATTTACTCCCCTCTCAACCCTGAGTGTAAAGTTGATTGTTATTTGTTGTCCTTAGTCTCCTGCTGACCAGTGTAAGAAAATCCATGCGGGAGATGAGGTGATCCAGGTCAACCATCAAACTGTGGTAAGTATTTTGCAAATTCTGCTCTGCAGGCTTTGTCTACTGATGTTAAAAAGATGTAATTCTTCTCAGCAGCCAACTGTGCCAAATTATATTACTATTTATGCCTTCTAAAATACAGTGATCACTGCTGATGCCTAATGGGAAGATGCATAAGCTGAGTGATTAACAAGCCAAACTTACATTTTGAATAATTGCTGTTCATTGTCATACTCTTTATATAAGGGGATCATAGAATGTTTCATCTGCAGTTTATAGCAATCGTATTGATTAAAACTTAGACTTTTCATTGTCGTTTTGCCAGCTAGTTTAACCTTTCTCTTAAACAGATTCCCTTTCATTTGCATTCTCTTTAATCTGGGATTCATATTCAAAATGCGGAAGTGCTGTAATGGCCATATAGTCTGAATAAGGTTGGTTGAATGAGGAAGCAGCAGCAAAACAAAGTTAAAGTGTTGATAGATATCTATATGGTTTTTTGCTTTTGTGCATTCTTGTATGCAGATTTGTTTTTAAGCAGATGAGAAGCTTTATGAAGTCAGTGAAACTATTAATCTGTTTAATATGACATAAGCATGTGTATGCAGAAATGTATGCTGAGTCGAAGGCACATGATTTACTTACTTTTAAATGTGCTGCTGTCATGGTGCTACTGTCAAATCTACAGAACGGTGTACTGTGTGAAACAAACTTTATGAGCTCATTAAGTAAAAACACAACAACAAACAAGCAAACATGGGATTAATCCCTTATCTGTGGACTAGCTTAAATTGCTAATTCTCTAGTTACTTAATTCATTAGGTCACTGATTCGTTAACTGGATGATTTGTTAGCATTGTGTGCTTATGAGCAAAATAGTTACCTAAACGATGGTGAGAGCACTCATCCTTCCTCCTCCGTCATGATGTGGATGTCCCCTGAATTGCACCAGCAAGCATGAGAGCCTCAGCGGTCCAGCTGCTGGTGGATCCGCTTCAAAGGCTGTTTGGGTGAGCTGACATATTTGTACCCACCAGCTTGCAATTTTGGTCTATACCATCCTTATTAGTTGTTTCAGTAGTTCCTGGGCAAGAATTTACTTAATTCCCAAGAGTTTCAATGTTATCAGGTGTTAACAAGAGGTTTCCTATAACTGCAAGGGTAGCACACCTTGTTGTTTTTTGTCCTTGAGTCTCTGGCACGCATGTTGCTTTCACTTTAGCCTAACGGTGCTGCTCCCAGCTTACATCAGACCTTAGCATGAGCTGCATGTTAGGCCCAAAGCCTGAGCAGGAGTTGGGTGAAGAGTCACAGCAGATGCTATATTTCTTTCTCGGCTGTATGCAGTTAAGCAAGTATTGTATAATTGCATATAGAACAAACCACATATATGTATTTTATGTATAAATACAGAAATAATGCATCTCTGCAGTTTTCATAGAATTGTATCCTGACGTAAAACACACACCACTGAAGAATGAATTATGTTTTTTTTTTAGATTAAATTACTGTGAGTGTACTCTAAAGGCCTATGAGGGAGCTGAGCCTCATTCAAAGTTGAATGACTACATTTCTTTTCCTATTTTGTGATGAGGCAAGCTGCTGACTTCTTAACTTATAGGACACTTCCAATGTTGAAGATTATTCTTCTGAAAATTATGCAGTTAAATTTTCTCCCGGTAGTATCATAAGTCATAAGCACTTTTTCTCCAAAACTGGAGTGGAATCAGTGTTACTGGGGCTATAGGTGATACGGAACACTTGTATTTACTGCTGTTTAGCTGTGAATATCGTTGTTACAATGAAGATAGTAATTTCTCTGACATGTTTCTAATGTAGCCACGTAACTTCCTCTTTCTCAGCACCATCTGCAACTGGACACAGCAGAAGCAAAACTATGAAACCTCTTTCTGTTTCTTTGTCATTTGAGTGAGATGGAAACATGAAAGTCTAACTATTAAATTCTTATGATTATAGCGCAAATATTTTATCTTTAAAAGTAGTATAATTTATTCAGTTATAAAATAGTAAAATATTGGTGCAAAGTACAGCTCTTAGCTACATTAGAGAGGTTTTATAAGTTGTCATAGCTACAAGTTGAAATATGCATTAGACTGGTTTTCTGTCAAACATACTCTTCAAGTGACAGAACTGATTTAATCTTGACTCCAGTAGGTGAAACGTCCTCATTCAGCTCCTCAAGAACTGGCATTCTGGGCAGCAACTCTGTTTTCATGTATGTTATTACAACAGGCCCAAGATTTTTGGTACTTGTAATCCCTTTCTCTCTAATGGCACTGTGCCAACAGCAGAGTTAAGTGGCATAAAATAGCTTCTTCATAAAAGCCCTCTACTAATTATTAATTCTGAGGTTTAGAACAGGCTAAGAAAAGAAATAAATGGCAAACTGTTTCTCATGGAAACTTATTCTTCCTCTGCAATGGTTGGGAAAATCTCATTCTTTCTTCACTGTGACTTTGGAGAGCCAGCCAGTAATACTGAGTGTTTGGTATGTTTCAGAGGTTTGTGTCTAACCTTCCTGCCCCCATAGACTGGGAATTTTAAGGGTTTAAGTATCCCCTTTACTCTTTAAGTCTGCTCTTTAAGTCACTTCTGATGTGTCTTGCTGTAGGAACATGTCATATTACAAGCTACCTTCTGTCTGTTCCTCCTTTACCCATTGCCAGGAGTTGTCATGATCAATATCATGCATACAGTTACCATTATTTCCATTAGTTGACTAGAGTAATTCAAAGGTTGCAGCTCATTAAATTACTGTGCAGTCATAGTTTTAATACTAGCAGTACCAGTTCACAAAATGAGATGTAACCCCTGTGAAATAGGGGCAGGGGAACTGAGTTAAGTTATAAAAGGAAGGCCTGCATATTTGTGTTGGTGTTTTTCAGGTTTTCCAAAGCTGTAAACCGTCTTGCTCACCAAGTAGAGGAGCATGGATTTGTATCTGCATTGAGTTCTCACTAGAATCCAACACGTGGTCATACCAGCCTTTGCATTAACTTTGCAGCTTGGCAGAAGCAAGTGCTTTAATCACCCAAGCTTGTCTTTGGGGACTTGCGTTCTCGTCTTTTTCCCTGCCCACATGTATTGTTTCAGATTTGTTATTTCTGAAAAAATATTGCCTTAAGCCTGTCAGCTTTAGTAGGGTTCACTTTTAATATCAACATCCTCAAATATGACAAATAATTAGAATTTATTCTAGCGAAGCAAAATATAATTTTCTTGACTGTAAATGTAGAAGAAAAATCATTGAAGAAATATATGCATAAGATACAGATACAGAGATAAATACAGCACAGTTTGAAATTATAGTTAGCCAATGTGTACTTGCTGAGTTGCCTTCATACCTCTCTCGCAGTGTTCTCCAGTCATTTTTCTTGCCTGGAAGTGCCATTTCCACCACCATTTTGCTTTCTGAAAGTTGCGTTATAGATTTGAGTTCTAATCCTACCAGAAGGGCTAGAGATTAAATGCTTTGCTTTCCTTTCCTTTCCTTTTATCTTTTTTTTTTCGAAGACTTTTGCTCAAGATTTTATTCACTCTTATATTTGAATGTCAAATCTTAATTCCTTGTAAAAAATAAAAATACAGCAACAGTTCCCATTCATTTATAACCAGTTGTGATGTCTCATGTTTGCCCCTTGCTGCAGAGCTGAAAGCAGTGCAGCTTTTCTGTATTTCTTTAATTAATCACTCTGCTCAATTTATTTCAAAAGAAGCATTCAACACTGTCTTATGAGGAGAGGAGTATTACCTATAGTATCCTAAGCACTTCCTTACTCATTATAGAGCTTTCAGAGTTGTTAAAATATTATTTATATGTATCCTGTCATATCCGCTGTCCCTAGTTTAACCTTAGTTTTCCATATGGGCACACATAATGCATTAGAAGTATAGGTGATAAAAGTATAAGTGCTAGTGTTATTTCTTATTCCTGTTTTTACCTATTCATTTGTAATGGATATTCCATGCTTTCATAGAATGTGTACATGGGAGTAAAATGCAATAAATTGCACAATGTAAAATGTAGAAATGTACTTTATTCACATATTGGTATCCTTCAGATATTCTTCATACTACCAAGATTTATCCTTGTCCTAACAAAGACATTTTCTCAAGACTGAATTTTCTGTAGTGTTTGGGTAGTCTTTCAAAAATAAATTCTGTTGAACATAATGTGTTTTGAAAGAATCTGTTTTGATGATGATGATTAGATACAACTTTTTCATATTGCCAGTAGTGAAAATACTTTCTTAATTAGAGAACATGTGGATCTTTTTAATAGATTAAAATCCTGTAACTGACTATTGACATCATCTCATCTGATTTTGACTAAACTAGGCCAGTGTATTTTGCAGATAAATTTATGTTTGCTCATTTACTGAGATCACTTGATTCTTAAACTTCCAGTGATGTTTGCACAGCCTGTGATAAATTGCTTCAGTAGTTAATTATTCTCACTGGTGCATTTTATTTGTAGTCTATCTTTGTCTAGCATCAGCTTCCAGTCCTTTGATCTTTATATATTTTTAGCTGTTAGATTGCAGAGCCTATTTCTTATTTAGATATTTTCAGTATCTAATCAAATTATCTCTTCACCTTCTCTTTGGTAAGCTAAGTTCTTTGTAAACTTTCAATTTTTCATCATAAAGCATGTCCCTCTTCGACAACCTCTAGAAATTCCCAACTGAAATACTTTGCCTATTTAACATTGAGTTAGAGCTGTACAGCAAAAGCATATTCATTCATGCATATGGCAGTACTTCTATGCTAAAATAGTCACCCACTGAGAAATATAGTTGTTACTTGCTGTTTGCCTGTTTTTGAAGGCTTGTTTCATTCTTGTCATTCATATATAGGCAAGAATATGGAGTCTCCATCCATGGAGATCCTGAAAACTTGACTGGACATGGTCCTGGGCAACCTGCTCTAGGTGACCCTGCCTGAGCAGGGGGATTGGACCAGATGATCTCCACAGGTCCCTGCCAAGCCCACCTGTTCTGTAA